GAACCAGGCTCGTGTACCCTCCCGAGCTGCCAGTACCAGCCAGGAGGGACACGGATCTAATAAACATGTGGTTGCATTCAGCCTCCCCAAGACCCTGTCCATGTCCTCGGGAGCAACAGAGTCAAACTCCTCCCACACAACCGTCTCAAGACCTGGTCCCGTCTCCTCCCCCTGGGCCAACCAGTCGGAGTCCAAGCCTGGGCCAACCAGTCGGAGTCCAAGCCTGTACATAGATATTTTATATCACCTGCTAATTACATTGTACTTTTTTTTCTATATCTACAAAGATCATAACTGTGCAAGCTGTGGTATGCCCTGTGCTCCTCTATGGACGTAAAAGGTGGACTTTACAGAAGAAAGATAAGAAGTGTATTGATGCCTTTGAATGACAACTGTCTTCTAGTATTTGAGGGGCTGTCAACAAGGAAGAGGGATTATTCTCTAAAGCAGCAGAGGACAGGACAAGAAACAATGGGTGGAAGCTTGTTAAGGAGATATCCAATCTAGAAGTAAGAAGAATTTTTCTGATAGGAGAACAATTAATCAATGGAATAGCTTGCTTCCTGTGGTTGCGATTGTTTCATCAATGGAGGTTTTCAAAAACAGACTGGACAATCATTTGACTGGGATAGTATATGGCATCTGCCCTGAGCAGGGGCTGGGCTAGAAGACTTCCAAGGTTTCAAGGCTTCCATGAGTACACCATGGACCACCAAGAAAACAAACTGATGAATCACTGAACAAATGATCAGGCTTAAATTATCCTACTCCAGACACATTATGCAAAGACCCAGCTTTCTGGAAAAAGCTCTAATGGTGGGAAAGTGGAAGAAAATAGAAGAAGACAACAACCAGCAAAAAGGTGGATGGACTCAATTACAGTGGCTATAAGTACGCATCTTGAAAGAACAGGTTAGGGATAGATCTCTATAGTCACCAAGAGTTGAAAAATGACTTTATGGCACATCAATCAATCCTTTTTTTAAAACTCCAAATTCATAATTGGAAGATTGTGATAGGATGGAAATTACTGCGATTAATGTCTGCAATATCCCAGATTCAGGGTAAAATTGCTAATAAGCCAAAATGAATCTGAAGTGGTACTTTTAAATAAATACACACACACTTACATACACTAAGGATTAAATTTCTAGTTTTATCACTGCATAATTTGTAATAATTTTACATTTGTTAAATAGTGTACATTAATTTTAATTCATTAATTTTAGTGGTCATCTCCATAGTAGGTTCAAATACTAAGAGATAAACATATAAGGATCACTGAATAATAGCTAACAATTCATTTACAATTTCCAACACCCCAAAACACAGATCTATGCTCGACCACAGCTACTCTCAAAATCACCAATATTTCTACATTCTACAAATATAGGTGAATAAGTGACACACCTCTATATCGTTTTCCATTTCAGGTGATTTAGGCAGCTATTTAAAAGCAAATATTAAAACAGAAAACTTTACATTTAAATGCATGGCTAAGACATACAAGTGAAGATAAATAACATTAAACAATAACTACAGTGCTGATATGACTAATATACATAAAAAATTAAAACATACAAGGTATAAGTAGTTATAGTCCTCATTTGAATGATACTCTAGCAAGAAAATCCTGTACCCACAGGCGTACATATGTAAACAGAAAGTAGTTTGATAAAATACTGTATAGATTGAGACAACTTACAAACACTGCTCAGTGAATTAATGAATCTGCTCAAAGACCTCATATTAAAGTAACTTAGAAAGAAAGTCTTTATAGGGGAGAAACTAACCACAAATTATCCTTTTTCAATGGTGAACACCCTCCAGTAATTGAGTGAATCTAATTGTATACAATGCACAGGATGTGAATGAAAAAATAGTTTTATTGCCAATTAATTAAACTTTGAAATATTCCCTAAATAAATTTGTGCTATGCTATTCTTCTCCCCCTAATCATTATCAGTGGTTAAATAAATGGAATGTTATGTCTGTAATCCATGGGGAATCTAAATATTAAATGTGATAAAATTGTTTAGACTATTATACACCAATTGTATAAAATAATCTACATTTATGCACGTGTACAGACACATGCACACAGAGTCAGATGGATGTTATTTATTTAACTGTTAGATTTATGCTTTGTTTTTCCTCTAGGACTTAATGGGAGTCTACTTTATATTCTCTCCTCCCATTATCCATCATAATAACCACCCTGTGAAATAAAATGGGCGAGAGAGAAAGACTAGCCCAAAATCTTCCAGTGAAGTTTCTGTAGCTAAAAATGAGTTTGATCTACTAAATTCTAGTTCAACATCTTAATTATAGTACAGGTAGTCCTTGACTTCCAATAGTCCATTTAATGACTGTTTGAAGTTACAGTGGCACTGAAAAAAACAACTCGTGACCATTTTTCACACTTATAATTGTAGCATCCCCATGGTCATGTGATCAAATTCAGGTGCTTGGCAACTGGCATGAATTTATGACAGTTGCAGTGTGTGTGTGGGGGAAGCACGTGATCACCTTTTACGACCTTCTGACAAGCAAAGTCAATGGAGAAGCCAGATTCACTTAACAACCATGTTACTAACTTAACAACTGCAGTGATTCACTTAACAAGTCTGGAAAGAAAAGTCATAAAATGGGGCAAAACTCACTTAACTGTCTTGGTTAGCAACCTTGGACTCAATTGTGGTTCTAAGTCAAGGACTGACTGTACTACACTAGTCTCCACATTATTAAATAACAAAGTTAAACCCCTTTTTGTAGCTAATGAAGGCCTCATAAATCCTTTCAGTCTCATAGCAATCTCAATGAAATAAGATACTCCTCTGTTGCTATGCAGAAGTGTATCATTAATTACAATTTTCAGGGGCAAATACTTTCACATACTCTTCTAGCTATAAAAGTAATTCATAGTATCGTAGTTCTCATAACACCTGGGAAACAATTCAATGAGTATCTGACAGACGTCTGCTAATTATGTGATATATACTTTCAAGTAGAAGACAACAAACTGTGTGTAAAAGATGTTATGTAAGAGAGACAAGATATACTGGACAAGAATGAGAGGGATTTGAAAGTGGATTTAAAAATGACAGGCTACAAGAATGATATTGAAAAAAAATGCTACACTGGATATACAAATGAAAGCTGCTGATGTCTTAGTAATTAAAAGGGATATACAAATAACAAACAAAAAAAACCGACCTGTATATCTTTTTTATATTGGATTTGGAAAAGAAACTAATTTAACTTTATTATTATTATTATTATTTTATTATTAAGTCTTGAAGAATTGTTTGAGAAGGGACAAGGATCAAATGAAAATAAATCAAGTTCTTAGACATTATTTGAAGAGCTTAAAGATCAAGATTATTAAAAGCAAAAAGGAAAGAATCTAAATTTGGTTTATATATCAAGGTTAAAATAAATATGTTGTTAATTCTGGCAATCTTTAATGGACTTTTGCTGATCAGGAATGAAACAAGGAGGCTTTTAAAAATGTATGTATGGATAAGAGATGGGAGATGGGAAAAAGAGATGATTTGCTGTGTTTTAAGAAAAAGTGATAAAGAGTGATTGTTTACACTTGTGAAGGGTAATGTCATTTCTATTTTAATTTTTTATGCGCTATTTGTTCTTTTTATTCTTTTATTTTTTTAGTTTGTATTAGTTTTCATCTTTCTAATTGTATGTTTAATAAAATTACTATACAAACACTACAGATCCAGGGCTGAGTTGGGTTTTGCTTTAGGATTTTGTGTTTCTTGACATTTTATTAACTGCAGCTGAACAGTGCATGTTCTATTTAAGAACCAATGCATCTATTTTAAATGTTTAAATAAGATTTAGTGGTGGGGAAAAAGGAGATTCTTTCCCAATGTTTACAAATATATATTAAAAAGAATGTATTTATCAGAAACTCTGATAAATACATTATCAGAATTGGATGATTCCCATCTTCATTGTTTCTGTACTGCTGCTTACTAAGAGTTCTTTTTATTTAAAAAAAATGAGGATCTATTATGGTTAAAACATTTTGACTGCAAAAATAAGTCTAAAGATTAAATTAATTAACCAAATTGCTAAATTGCCTTCAGAACTGACTTACATGAAAAAAACAGTGCAAAAACTATTTAGAAATGCAGTCTATGCACACATCGTGACATAAATAAGCTCCACCAAATATAGAAGAATGTATTTATTTATTATTCCCACCTTTCTTTCAATTTAGTATTCAGTACAACTGAGAATTAAATTAGAAAGTACAAACTAATTTTTAAAAAGCATAAATAAAAATTAACATAAAATTAATTTGCAAATAAAAGTCTGATAAAAAGATCCTAGCAGCTGTTTTAAAGCTCAGAGATTAAATAAAAATATCATCATATTCTTTATTACATTCAATGACAAATATAAAGATAACTATTAGACAACCCCCCCCCAGTCCCCATTTTATTAATCTGTTCTTTGCTGTGCATTTTTACATATAATTTCCTCTTTGTTACTTGTTATTTGGTGCTCCTGAATTAACCTTAACTTTATCTTTATTAGTTGCTCCTTAACTAATTGTTCATGTTCCTCTTAACCTTGAAGTTCTTGATGCTCTATGAGCTTGGTAATTTTCTTGCGGACATTTTACTATCAAACTAGGTAACATCATCAGTACACTGAAATGTAATGAAAGGGTAATGCATAATGAAATTCCTGCAAGAAAATAACCAAGCTCGGAGAGCACCAAGCACCCACAATTCAACCCTGAGCTACAAATATTATCTTTTAGTGGTACTCTTAACTTTTTATTTCTGAAAAAAACTAAATATGTTTAATTGCTTAAAAGTGATTTAGTTCAACCTGGGTGGTCTCTCCCGCTCCTTCCAGTCAATAAGATAGGCACAGAAAACAATTTCCAATGGTTCAGCCAGAATGGCTGAATAGTCAGAATGGGCACTAATAATAAGACCCATGGTGGCGCAATGGTTAGAATACAGTATTGCAGGCTAACTCTGCCCACTGCCAAGAGTTTGAGTCTGACTGCCTCCAGGTTGACTCAGCCTTCTATCCTTCTAAGTTCAGTAAAATGAGGACAAGGATTATTGTAAACTGCTTAGAGAAGGCTGTAAAGCACTATGAAGCAGTATACAAGTCTAAGTGCTATTGCTATTATAAGTGCTAATAAGGGATTCTGGGAGTTCAACAACATCTCAAACATATCACCCATCCTGATTTAGGAGATAATCAATGTAGCCTTTACTGAACAAAAGGCAGCCTGAATGTATTTGATAGACTCTCTCTTCATCACAATTTCAGATAAAAATAAGTTCTTTTACAAAGGTAGTAGTATTAGGTTTAAATTTATACATATAAAATCAATATATGTATAAAGTTTCCATTTTTATATATATTACTCATTTCAGTTCTTTAATACAGTCAAGCCAATATGATTTGTAGAGCTTTCTTGAAGTTACTGAAGATAATTTTTTATCTATCTTATCAATTTCTTCAGTAGCATGGGCTCACATGAGAGCTAAACACCCTAAAAACAACACTATGTTAACTGACTTTAAGTTTTAATTTACATATTTCAAATTAGAGAACAGTCTTTTAATTCATAATATATTTAGAAAAATTACAAATAATTTTATCCTGCAGAGGCTTTTGGCTCTGCTATGTGTTGAAAGGCTCTTGGCCCAGTAACAGAATTCACAGATACATATATAGATGAGAAGCCTTTAGGAAAGGCAACTGTTCCATATTAGCAAGTGGTTAAAACAATGACTAAGAAAGCATCCAGGCTAAAATATAAACTATAAGTATGGATTGATTTGCTAAAATTCAGAGTTTTAAATAAAGCTGTTTTTACCCCATTCCCTCTGCAGTTGTATGAGAAAAAGAAATGTAAGAATTTCCCACTATTTAAATACAACTACAAATATCCCCTAATTAATGGAGCAGTCTTCATCCGGAGATCATGCTGGAACTAACTTCGACATCCTTCCAAAAAGCTGCCAAAAGAGTTATACTACAGAGCTTTTGAGAGATGATATTGCCCAATGTGGGTTGACACCATTGTATTATAATGTTTACGGCTGTTTATTTTCATTTTTTTATGTTGAGTTTACATTGTGGTTTTTCAACTTTTTGCAATATTCAGACAAGGATTTTCCATTCTGCAAGAGCAACTGAAAAAGAAAGAATGAAATGCTGACCATCAATTTAATAGTATAAGTTATTAAGCTTACAGCTTGTGAAGCTATAGCACACATTGCTGTCTCAAGGATTCTTTGTGGAACTGTGATCCCTAAAATGATACATATCCTTGTACGACATACCCCAGAACTAAAACCAATGCTTTCACTGAGGTTAAGTCTATGCTAGGGGGAAAAAAGTATCACTTTCTTCTAATAAATAAATAATATTAATCTGCAATCACTAAT